TGTGAAGGATGTGAAGAGGCCACGAGTGTTTAGAAATGTGAAGGAGGCAAAGATGCCTAGAGCTCCCATCTACATAGAGGCACTGGTGTAGACGTCTGGGGATGGGCCTACGAAGTGGGAGCAGAATTTGTACTGCGTTTCTATAGTTGAAACAGAAATGGCAAGAGAAGATAAAATGTGAAAATTGTCATTTGTGATGCACAGCTGTGCTTCTAAGGCCTGACTAGTATGTGGTCCAAATTACTCTGAATAAAAGATGGACTGTGCTGCTTGCCAGTGTAACAGTCACTGTCCTTGTTGTGCTTATAGCAGTGATAAAATTAATAGCAATAATTAGTATTTAATGATTAATAATTCATCATAGTTAATAGGGAGTAGAATGGTCAGCTATTACAGTAACCTCAGCTAAAGTGGTGCTTAATCTTAGGGAAAGGTGGTGCTATCAGTGAAAAGCAATTTGCATATTCGAGGCTGACAGCGTCAGGAAATGCAGTCATCAGCTTGATCTGCAAGTGCAAACAGTGAACACCATCTGCTGCTGGCACCACGTAACCCAAGGGCCAGAGGAGGCATGAGGTGACTGAGGGCCCAGTAAAGGCTGGATAACTGGCTGTCGACCCCTTCCTCTTGGGGCCTTTTCTAGGTATGATGACGCCATACCTCCCAGCACCTGCCGATTGTGCTGGTGTGCTTCTGGCTGTCACTGAGAAGGGGTCTGTTGCAATGGTTGTGGTGAACACCACCCATCCCCCCCTGCCACAGTGGGATGGGGGAGAGAATTGGGAAAAAAGTAAAATCCATGGGTTGAGATAAAGACAGTTTAATAAAGCAGCAGAGGAAAAGTATAGCAACAACAATAATAATAATGGTAAGAGAACATACAGAATATACAAAACAAGCGATGCAAAATGTAGTTGCTCACCACCCACTGACCAATGCCCAGGCTGTCCCGAGCAGCAATCACTGTCTCCCCTAGACTAATTCCTCCCGAGCACAACATCATATGGTGTGGAGTAGCCCTTTGGCCAATTAGAGTCGGCTGTCCCGGCTGTGCCCCCTCCCAGCTTCTTGTGCCCCTGGCAGAGCAGGGGAAGCTGAAAAGGTCCTTGACTGGTGTAAGCACTGCTCAGCAACAACTAAACCATCAGTGTGTTATCAACATTATTCTGGTACTAAACCCAAAACACAGCACTCTGCCAGCTACTAGGAAGAAAATTAACTCTGCCCCAGCCGAAACCAGGGCAATGATGATTTTCATAGTCTACTCAAACTAGCTGCACTAGGAAAAGGCATGCAAAGCCATTGTAACTATAGGCAGATGAAGCAGCACTCTTTCACACTGCTATTTCTTTAAGCGTTCTGTGGTGTTAATCTGCTTCAGAAGTTAAAGGAACTCAGTGAGCAAACAGCAATGTTTGATTAACAGACACTGGGATGAGGAAAGATTGGGGCAGCCACAGAAAGCGTAAATTGACACAGGCTGATTACGTGGGGCTTTATGGGTAAATAACAGGTACAAGACACACAACGGTGAGAAACCTGGCTCCTGTGCAGGCTGGAAGGCACTGAGGCACTGAGGAGTAAAGTGTTGGGCTATGTGATAAAAGCTCCTCTGCCTTGAGGATGGTGATGGTGGGGAGGAAGGGATACCGGAATAAAACCCTGGCTCCAGCTGCGCCCATGGACACCAGAGATGTTGAGACCATACCAGTGGCTGGCCGGCTGCAAGACATGCAAATACCATTCTGCCCCTGTTTAAACTGAAGAACATGGCATGGAAAATAGCTTGCTATAAAAAAATTTAACGGTATTATCTGTTACTGAAACAAGATCTCTAGTTTTAATAGCACTGCAGGGCACCAAAGGCCACACCTAGACATGTACTGGTGCATTCAGGGCTTTACAGAGTACACTTCTCATGTGGTCTCTTCCTTTTTTTGTTGCTGTGATTCTGTTTCCAACAAGCAGCAAGAACCAGGCACCCACTTTTGAAAACAGGTTTTTCACGAGTTAACAAGAAAACAAACACACCAACTTTGAAGTTAATTAATTGACTCTCCTTTACCCTCTACCCTCATGGTAACAGATATGAACGACAGCTAAGCTAGACAGTAACACTGGCTTTTGGTTCGGTTTCTCCCGCAGCCAATAACCTTCACTTCTCACCAAGAGCCAGCAGTAAAGAAGCATTTACCATTGGCTTTTATAGGCAAATAGAACTTGTAGTTTCTTTGTTTTCCCCTTTGCGGGCTACAAACCGGTAAGGTCTGCATGTGATCAAAACCTGTAGGGTTTGCCAGCACTTCAGGGCTACCAGCAGCTCACCCACTACCTGCTGCCCAGACCACAAGAAGGATTGCTCTAAAAGACAGGAAGAGTCTGGGAACTGATGATCAGCAACACCTCCACTCTGGTCCAGGATCCTCCCCGGAGGAAAAGGACGGAGGTGCATGCTGGCCTTTTGCCTGGCCTCCAGGACAAGCTGAAGATGCAGCTGTGAACCGAAGCTGAAGTGAGCAGAGGAGAGCTTTGGAGAGTTCTACGGGCAGGGAACGGGGTGGAAAGCAAAGTCAAGAAGCAGAACAATAAAACAAAGACATGTACTAGAATACAAAGTTTATTAAATATCAAGTTGGAACGGAATATCTGGAATTAAATAACAGTGGATTAGCTTCACAAAAATGTATTAATACAAAAAGGAAGAAGGGGTCACAGCAGCATTCATTGCTTTCCTCACTGCCTGTTAACTAAAGTCCTTGAATTACTGGGTAAAACCCGCCAATTTTTCCAGTCTTATTTCATCTCACTACAACCAGAACTGGGACTTTGTTCTATAATCTCCTGATCGCTAGTGACTTTTGAGGACACCAAATGACACCTGCAGATCCTCAGTAACGGGCAACTCCCTGAAATAAGTGAAACTGCTTGTTTTATTGACACAAGTGCCTCACAACGCTCGCCAACCTCTGGGCTACAGCCACCGTACCATTAGCTGCTAGCAGCAACAAAAAGATTGGCTATCCTATCACACAAGTTTTGGAAATTAATGAGGAGAATGAAGGTTGATAGACTAACATTCCTTTTTTCCTCATATGAAGGGTTTCATGTGCACCACAGCTGTTGACGTAGCAACTGCAAATGTCGCAATCTTCAGCAGTTGTTAACACAAAAATCAACATGAATACCACATGAGAGGCAATGGGCACGACCTGAAACACAGAAGGTTCTGCCTGAACATCAGGAAACACTTCTTTACTGCGGGGGTGACTGAGCACTGGCACAGGTTGCCCATGGAGGCTGTGGAGTCTCCATCCTTGGAGATGGTTGAAAGCCAACATAGTCCTGGGCAACTGGCTCTAGGTGGTCCCCCTTGAGCAGGGGGCTTGGACCAGATCACTTCCAGAGGTCCCTTCCAACCTCACCCATTCTGTGGTTCTGCGATACAACCCAAATACACCAAAAAGACCCCGTCACAACTGTCTTGGCACTACTAGACACAAACAGTAGTTTTAAAGCTAAGGCGCATAAAGTGACAGCAATGTAAAGTGCCCTATTCTCCAGCTTGAACACTGGTAAAACTTTATCAGCAGAAGCACTCACTGCATCAGGACCGAAGCAGCAGGCTCAAAGCACATCAAATAATGTCCGAAGCAGTAAAATAAACACTGGAAACATTAAAAACACATAGAGTGGAAGGATTACACAGAATAAAGGGGATGCCTTTGTTTAAACCCAGAACACAAGTGGAGCAAAACAATGCATCTACCTTAATGCAAAACGTTTTGACAGTTCTGTCAACCTTGAGAATCAAGATTAGTCAATCTGCTAGTCAGAAAAAAATAGATATGGTTCTTATTGTGAGTGCAAAATAAAACAACTATGCATCAATTAACCAACAGGTGAGTGCAATGTGCTTGACATCCATTTAAAAGAATTTATATTCAGACTGCAATCAACACATTTTCACATCTGAACTGTGGATTGGGAAACCGTACATACACTATGTAAACAAAATGATTTCCAGAGCCTTTCCCCTATCATTTTATTCAAAGCAGGTAATTTTTGGTTAAAACATCACGGTACTCCTGTATCGCCCTGCGAAGGGGATCCTGGTCAACATGGGAATTTTTTGAAGAACCATCAGTGGATACGATGGGAGAAGCTCCAGCAGATCCCGTTTCAAGCTCAGCAGTGGCTAGGGAGAAAAGAGACAAGATTCCTGGTGTTACTTTTACAGCAGACAGGGCCAAAGAAGTCACTGTAAAAACACAAAGGGTAACTGAAGAAACTACAATCCAGAAAGAGATTTAAAAACTCCCCAGGGAACATAACAACGAAAGGGCAAGGCACAAAGGAAGAAACACTTTTTTTTCCCCACGTGTGCTTGTCAGTCAAGGGTCTTTCTAAAGCTAGTGCAAGAAATTCCAGAGGCTACACCCTGAACATCTTCGGGGAATCCACAAACGACTTCTGCTTACACCGGTGCTAAATTTAGCCCCCTGCACACCTCTTCAACCTCAGATAGGTGCACTTCCTCTTCGGACACCTGACCTCATATCATAGAGCATGTTTTATGCTATGTATTACAAGCCAGCAACTCATCTTAGGTCTGCCTAAACACTACTGAACGATCTTTTCCCACAGAAAAGATGTATTTGGTCATTGATGATATTCTTCTTGCTCATTCAAAAAAGACTGCAACACGTAAGCTACAAATACAAGCAATGAGGAAGAGACAGAGCAAAAAGCAAGAACGAACAGCAGAGCATGTGCATGGCGTGGTTTAGCGGTGAATGCAGCTGAGGTACATGGAAGGAGAAGCGATGGCTGAAGTCTATAAAAATCTTCTCTCAGGGATTGTGTGATGTCTGATGGTTGTGCTTGAGGATTAAGTGCAGTCAAAGAGCACTTCAGCTTAATCCATGTCTATCGGTGTGGGGGAAATGGGTTAGTTTCCTTCGCACTTGTTCTTTTTCAGGCAACTGCATCACGTTCTATACAATATTCTGTTAAGCAGGAAGCTTTCGCGTTCAAGTCTAAACTGGAAAGCGAGCAGAAAATATCTTGACAGCTTTGAAGCCATTATTGTCAAGAGTTAGCAACAGTAATCTTCTTCCTTAAAAGCACTCCTAACATAATGGCAACATTACCCTGTTCAAGTTCCTTTCTGATTTTTTCATCCAGTTCCTGCCGTACCTAAAATTACACAGAAAATATACAGTTAATATTTGAAGTTACATTTTGGTAATATTAAACTTCTAAAACGGTCCTAAAACCCATACGTAACACGTGATAAAAACTAAAATGTATCATCCCAAATACGGGCATCTTGGTCTGGGGTTTGCTTTTTAATGAAGAGAAACTCTTGGCCAGCCAGGCTGTAGCATTCTCATTGCTAAGCAACATCAACCCAAGCACAAACCCACCTGTACCTCACCAGCCGGGTTCTAACTGGGTATTTAAAACTATACAGGAAGAAAGCGCTGTGGAGTTATTACAGTGAGGGTGTTGACGTATTCCATTGTATAGAAAAAAGCACGCACCAATATTCTTCTTTTCTCTACTTTAAGATGGAAAATTGAAAGAGCTCCTACAGATCATGCCAAGCTTTTTCTTTTATTATTGCTCATGCCATGACACACACATACATAAAAATATAAACACACACACAATTTTTTCTTGCAAACTTTGTACTAAGAAAAGACAGCAACAGCTACAGCTTCCACACAGCAAGTGCTGTGTGTTTTATTATGCAAACAAAACCAGCCTGAATCACTACAAAGGAGCACTTACCCCTTTTTCCCCGCAAAGGGGGGGATTGCCACTAATTAAGTTACTCTCACTTGTGATTCTGACTTCAAAGTCTTCATAAGAATAAATCAGAGCTTTTGAAGAGTCATAGTCCAAGCGCTAGATGCTGTTGTTTACATTTGAGACCTGTGACTCGTACGTTTTTTCCATCAAGTCTGTGACATATAGAAGTGGTTTGCAAAATTGATTCCATACAGCTTCCAGGCCTATGATGGCCATGAAGATGCTGAAGGGCTTGGACCACATGAGCTATTTGGAGAGGCTGAGAAAGCTGTGACTGTTTCTTTACTGGAGTAGAGAAAGCTCAGGGGGACCTTATCTATGTGTCTAAACACCTGGTGGGGGCATAAAAGAAGATGGAGCCAGACTCTTCTCAGTGGTGCCAAGTAAAAGAGCAAAAGGAACAGGCACAAACTGAAAGAGAGGACATTTCATTTTAATAGAAGGATTTATTTATTTATTTAAATTGTAGATGTGGTCAAACACTGGAACAAGTTGTCCAGAAAAGTCTGTGGTGTGTTCATCCTTGGAGATGTAAAAAAACCTGGCTGGACACAACCCTGAGCAAGCTGCTGTGACTGATCCTGCGGTGAGTAGGTGTAGGGTTTGACAAGATGATCTTCACAGGCCCCTTCCACCCTCACCCATTCTGTGATTCTGATTTTAGTAACAAATCCCTGAGGGAGTGAGTATTTATTTTATGAAGTGGCTTATGAAAGGCTCACCTAGCAACATCCCAACACAGAAAAGAAATTAAACACTGTACAAAGTACTCAACAGGCCACAGAAAGCAAAACCATCAGGAAGGGAAGCACTCTGAAAGCCCTCACAAGCAGAGCAGTAACAGGCAGTAACTCCAAGGGCCAAAGAAGTGGGGTTGTAAACCAGCAAAGTGGAGGGAAGGGCCCTCTCTCCAGGACTACAGAGAGAGCTGCAACCAAATTCACCAGCTCCTCCAGGGAAAGAACCATTCAGTGGTTCTTTGTTGGAAGAGTCTGTGCCTTCACAGCTAAAAGAGGGGAGCACGGAGCTGAAGGAATGACAGAAAAGGACCCCTCAAATACTCAAACCTCTAATTGTTTTCAAGCAGGTAAAAGCAGCACCAAAATCCTGGGGAGACGGGACCCCCTAACACATGAAGTGAGATATAGGAAACACCAAAAAAAAGCAGGAAAACTAATGCCTAGACCAAAAGATGACCCCAAATCAGGACCAATCCTAAGCAAAGCAGTAGTAGTTGAGGTGTTAGAAGAAACCATTTCCCCTGGTTTCTGGAACCTTCACAATGACCAGAAGGCCCACAGGACCCTCCAGAACATGTGCAGGTGAATCAAGAGAAGAAAAAGATCTTGTTTTCCTCTTATTCATTCCATTAACATCTTTGTGTTGATCATCCCATTCATACCTGAGGGAAGAGGAATAGGTGGAAATAAAGCTGACACTGATTTCTGAAAAGGGAATGAAGAGCCAAGCAAAATGTACCCTTGAAGACTATAAAACTTGCCTCCAGTGCTCTCCTTCCCACAACCCCCTGGAAAAGGCATCACAGCTGACTATCCCAAACCTCCTGAGCAGTAGGGACGACTATTTCAGATTCCAGAAAAGCTTCTGCCAGACTACAGTCACAGACTGGAAAGCAGAACAGTGATTGCTATCTCTTCTGCACTAAGTTCTACACTTCTCATCTCACTGCACATCTCTTCAGGCAGTAACACTGGGTTCCCTTGCAGCAGTCACCCTCTAAGTAATCCTTTTTCAGAAAGCGGTACTGACTTACTACTTACCCACATGGATTTCTTGAGTACAGAGTAAGTTGGATCCTGTAAGACTCCATGAGCTGATACTCAGGGAGTACAGGAGCTGAACTTCAGAACAGTACTGGTACTCCACACACAACCACTGTTATTTGCTGAGAACTTTTTGAACATCAGAACTGGCAAGGAGGGTAAACCAGCCTACTCCTATAGCTTGAAGAAGTTCCATTATAATAGATGAAATCCATACACTATCATTTTACAGATTGTTAACTACTACAGAAGCCATAACATTACAAATACGGGAAACATGAAAGTACTCTGCATCAGTCATTCTTTCACTTGAACAAACTAACAAGTTCAAAATATTTGCAGTATTAGGAAAATGTAAATGCATCATTAAGTTTTAATCAAAACCTAACAGCATAAGTAGACAAAACATTTTCAGTATAAAATACCACCCAACATTAAACAATACTGGCTACAAACCTTGTCATGTATCTGGCTGCAGAGAAGAGAGAGAACAGATTTTTGATTAAGGAGCTGAAGAAGAAAGAAAAACGGCCTTAAGTTCAAAGAAATAAGAACATGGCCTACAAGTAAAAAAGCTAACACTATAAAGACTGCTACAATACAAGAGTGCAATGGAAAACAAAATCAGAAAAGGAACGGAAATTGAGAGAGTAGGAAGCAGACATTCCTTTTCCCATTCTATGTAGGAAAACTGCTTTCATAAATCCACTAATTCACACTGGTTGCAGCTAGCAGAGTTCACTTATTTTCTACGTCAAGACACCCACATTCATTTTCACCAGCCTTTCACATAGGTGCTAGGATTTAAGCTTGACATTTGTTAAACCTAACAACAGGGCTCCCAAAAACTCCTTGCAGCAGACATTGCTTGCCTCAGTCTATAGACTAAAGCAGCAGTTCCCAGATTATGGTACACAGACAAGTAGCAGTACTTCATATTTGTTTTTCATCTGCTTGATTCTGTTTAGTTCTGGATGGTGACATGCCAATTCATGAGCAGTTTGGAAGTCAGTAGACCAGATCACAAAAAGACCCCATCAAAGATCTCTTTACTCCTGTAAAGGACAGGCAATACACACGCACCTCCTTCTTATGACACAAGTCCTACTATGAACCAAATTTCAGCCAACCTCCTTCCAGAACATAATGAACTGCTAGTCACTACAGTCACTGTTTGTAATTACAAGCACAGAATGTTTCAAGTAGTGTAATTTATTCCTCAATACCGGAGCTCTAAGAAATAAAACCAACCAAAAAAACCCAAAGACATTTGCATATGATTGGCATTTTACTGGTTAATTACTTGTGTCAATATGAAGTTTTCTACATTTTTCAAGATACTTTTGCACTTCCATTTCAAGTTTATTCATTTCTGTAGCATATGTATTTGATAAGGGGAAAAGTGCTATACTGTAATGAAGCACGTTGCTTTTTTTTTTTTTTTAAGAATAAAATGCTTGGTTTTTGCTGAGCTTGCAACATGACCATCTTCAAAATGTAAGGCTATATGCATAATCACCGACGTTTGCCTCTCATGTTAAGTAGTGGTTTAGGAAACTGTGAAATCTTTCAAGCCTTTAAACTCCGAATTTCTTAATTATGTCTAAAAGAAGTAACTGTGTCCACCTGCCAGAAGAGCACTTCTTCCTCTTGTTTCCAATCAGCACCATTTACCAATGTTTTTTCCAACAGCTGCATGGACAAAGAATTAATACCAGCATTTTAAATAATAGCAGTGTGAAGTATTTTCACCTCCTTGTCCCTGAAGCTATTGAAAAGCTTTTGCACAAACCAAATTTACATAAACATCCTCTTCTTAAGAATGGCACGTCCTCTACTTTAAATAGCCTTTCTCACCTTGAGGAAGTGACTGACACCAAGTCTGCATAGAGCGCTTTGACTAAAAAAAGAAGTGCAAGATGACCACCTGAGGCACACAGCAATTTAAGCTCCTTAACTCCCTGTCATTATGAGCTTTAGTGGCAGGAGCACTTGTAATCTCCAGCCAAGAAAGCACTGCTCAGCTTGAATTTAAAGGCAAGACAAATTCTGTAGAAGGGAACCAGGTTACTAGAAAAAGTCTGAGGCATAACTGAAGCAAACAGTAAAGTGAAGGAAAAGCTTAGAGTCAGAGGAACTCTTCTGTCTTTAAATAATCTGGTGAACAGGCAGAGTACTAAGCAGCACAACCAGCAAAGTATTTCAAAGCAAACTAAAACTGTCATCTCTGAATTCTTCCCTCATGCTCCAACTTATCTACTGAATGACACAGGACTCCCACAGAAATAACAGCACAGACTATGCATCCAGTAATCTTGCATTTGGACACTGATCAAGATTCACTACCCATTATTGTATGCAGAGGGATACATGCACTTTTTCCCTTCTGTTATGTCCTGGCTTAAAGCCTTATTTTCCAATTCAATCCTCTTTTTTTAGACAGGTGTCAGGAATCTTGTACTTTCAGTTCCTCAGAGATAGGGTATGGCTTCAAATACTGTTGATGACATAGTGCACCGAGTTGAGGAAACTTAAGCCAGCAGTTCTAAGTGAAATACCCACTTAGATGCATGTCCTCTAGCAACTACTGCACCTCCAAGAATCCTGTTCCTTTTTTTTGAAGGACTCTGAAAGAGAAAATCAGTTCTTAAGACTTTTTAGCATTGAGTGACTTGCAGCTACAGACAGTGCCATTACAATTACTCTCAGTTGTCCCCTAACTGGTGATTACGGGAAGAAATATCACAAAATGATGTGCAGCTGGATTTAGTAACAGGGAGGATAAATTCACACTGGTAATTCTGAGTCCCACACACCAGCCTTCTGCTTGGATTGAGGGAAGACAGGCATGCTGAGATTTCCAGCTTTTTCTTAAGAGAACCTGGCAGAAATGGTAAGAAACAGGTAAGTTCTCTGAGGACTTTGCAATAGTTTTATTCACCTTCATTCAGGGAAGAAAACTTCAGAATTTAATACTATATTAGAATTAAAACCTAATCCCAAGAAGACAATTATCGTCAGCTCCTGTTTGACAATAAAGTACAAGTCTCTGTAGGTTGTAAACAAGAGCAGAGAGAACTTCAGGGGACTACGTCCTACTAACAAAACTGCAGTAGGAAAGAGAAATTTAGGTATGTAAGAAAGCCCTCAAGCTAACAAACAGAAAACTCCACCCAACAACAGTAATTGGAGTCCAGGGAAATGTCATTTGTTGAACTTCCTTGAGAGTCTGCTCAAGGCTGATGGGTTTTTTTAGGTTCTTTTTTAAATCTTCAAAGTAAAGACTCAAAAAGCAGTACCAAAACCTAAAAGCATTCCCCAGCACGGCAATCCATCACAAAAGGTGAGAGACATACGCTCTGAAAAGAAACTTTATGTTTGCTCTTGAAGTCAGGACACTGAGTGGGAACAGTATCACCACTCTCAGATCTAATGCACACTTTTCTTGGAATCAGCTTTTCACAAATAGATCTGGGAAACATTTTTACAAAAATGTTGAAGCAGCCTATGTAACTATGTGAAATATATATCTGCATATCTTAGCAAATGGGTACAACCAATGAGCTATGAAATAGCCTTTTAAAATGTTTGATTTCTGTAATATATTTAAGGAAAGCTAGTAAGTCAGCAAAGGTATTTATCTTGATATTGACAAAACTCTGAAATGCCGAGAGCTCCAATTTCTCCTGGAAAATTAAAATGGAAAGGACTACCTGAAGAATGTTGCTGTAATTCAGTTAAGAAGCACTGAGTACTCCCTCTTTCTCTGCTGTTTCTTCTTCTTCAAAAAAGGCACAACTGTTAATCCTTTTCTTTTAAACTAGGACAACTTTTTCCCTAGAAGTGGGGTGGTTTCCTCCTTTGCCTTTTTCTTCTTTTAACGTCTTGCTTTCATCTCTCTGTCCTTTCTTTTCCTCACTTGTTCCCTGCTCCCTACCCGTCTTGTTCCCTTGTCCTGGCCTTCTCCTTATTTCACTTTTGCAGTGAGTCCCTGAATTTTGCCTCCTTTCCAGTGCTTGCATGCAGAAGAGCCCTGCAGATGGTACAGTACTAATTGCCTCCCGAGTTCTTTCTGTAATGAATGTCCACACCTCTGACCTGGAAAAAACATTCATAGTGACACAGAAAAGTTCATCTCTGTAACTGCCACCACTACGCGTTACCTACACTGCTTTGTCTTTTTTTTTTTTTTTTTTTTTACATCAAGTGCAGTATGTACACACATGTTTAAATGGGTTCTTTCCAACACGGATGGGACCACTGAACTGAGATGGACTTACAAGTGTACAAATCATTCTCACATTCATGCAGCAACAGAATATGTAAGGGATAGAACACCAACTGAATAGAAAAGCTTGTCCGTGCCTCAATCCTATGCTAGTGGGAAACTGATTTCAACTATTGACATCTGGTTTCCAATTCTCATGATATAATGTTCACCATTCTGTGAAGGATCAGACTGACTGCCAATTACAGGGCTTACCTTAGCCAGAGGTATTGCAGAGGCTGCAGCACTGCTGCAAAATTAGAAAGCTGTGAAGACTTCCTGAGGAGTAGTTAAATTTACCTATTCATGGACTAACACACAATACGAACTACAAAACCAAATGCCTCCTATGTGTAGGATATCTCCTGCACTGAAGTATAAAGTGAGAAGTTACGTGATCCCAGTCATATCATCCTATTTTTCAATCACAACTTTGTTGGTATTGATGTACTAAAACAAGCAAAGAAACTGCTGGAATCAAGATCAGTGAAGAATAAAAAGGTGTCTCAAACAAAGATGTCTAATGGGATTTTGCACTCATTGTGAAGTGAGCCATTTTGAATCGGTCATACATACTAGATATTAACATGCAATGAGGAGCTTAGCTGGGAATTTCCTATGCCACAGTATTATTACACTTTATCTTGCACAAGAATGTAGTTGCACAGTTCATTACTTAGATGTCAGTACTTTTTGGTCTTTGAACACTCTTGGAAATTTGCACAACCCTGATGCCCAAAAGTCTTCAACCCTACCACATACACGTGATGTACTGTTTTGATGATTAGCAGCTGTTTTGGAATATTAGAACATATGGTTTGGAACTATAAATGGATTCTAACTTTAAGCTCAAAAGCATAACCTTGCTTATGGATACTCTTTAGCAGGAGATGAGAACAGCATTTCAAAATGCTTACCTTAGCCACATAGGCTTCAACCCTGTTTCTTGACGATAATGCATTCCCGGTTGGGCTTAGGAAGCTTCCTCCTAGACTTAGACTTCTGTGCAGTGCCAAATTGTTGCCAAGATGTCCCAGTTCAGTTGAATACAGAACTGGACTTGCAGCCAGACCTCCACTGACAATGCCGCTCGCAATTAAAGATTTGCTTCTGTGGCGCTCCTGGAGGAGCTTGGCGTTGGCTTCTGCTAGTCTCTCATTAGCTCTGAAACATTCAGAAGTATACAAAGGATTCTCTTTGGTAGTAACGCTTTTGCAAAGTTACCTTCTAGGTCCCTGACTATGACTCGACTTCTGAAAGCGGAAGGGATTAGTGTCCAAAACAAGAACACCATTTGATCGGAGTTTCTTTGGAGAACCTATTTCTAAGAAGTCACACTACCTGCAAGAAGCAGCAAGAGTTACCAGCGCTTAGGAGTTCCCAGCATTCAGGGCTTCAACGCAACCTGTGAATGCCATGGGTTTACAGAGCTTCTTCTGAAAGGGACGTCGCCTGCAGAAGAACTCTGGGCTCCCCTCCCTTTCCCAAGGAAAGCTCAAACCTCAGGCACACCGCTAAAATGAAAGCCCCAAAAGATTTCTTTTTTTTGCCTCACAGAATCCACTTCTGTTCTTTGAAGGGCCTGGCAGTAAAGGACACGAAATTTATCTTTTCTGCCACACACAGAGGCAGTAAGAGGAGGTTATTCTTAGAGACTGGCACAAAGGCTGCCTGTTAAAACACAATCCAGGTAAAAAATACCCTCTGAATGCCACCATCAGTGGTGTTACTGGTGGACCACGAAAGAGAAAGGAAGACGGTGCTCAGGAAGGGGAAGGGTCTCGAGCCTTTCCAGTTTATTTGCTAGGCATCTTCTAATTTTTACTTCCTCCAGATACAGCTCTTTGTACCTTTCCACTTCTGCCTGCGTGGATCCTTTTTGAAAAACACTGTCTTGCTGGGTATTTTTTATCCTGTCCAATTCATGCTCGAGATCTCTAATTCTGTGTTTTAGCTGGTTTCTCAGCGAAGCGTGATGACTGGCTCTGATTTGTTCCAATCTGTCCTGGGAGGCTGCCTGCGCCTGAAGCAGATAATGCATTTTCAACCACCGCAAAGAAAAAAGAGAGCTCTCCCTGCCAGTCAATTGCACGTACCCAGTTTCAAGGGCCCAGGCTTTACTCAGGGAGGCAACTGTGCCTCCTCACCACCATCAGGATTCAAGGCAGAACCCCAGCAATACCGTCTGAAATAATTCTTTTCCCTGAGGGCCCCTCCCCCTCTTAGCACTAGTATTCATTCTAAGCTACCAATGGAAGAACACTGTCTCTGTAGGACAGGGCATATAGAAAAGGATTCCTCACAGAAATTAGGAGGATCCCTCACCTCCACACCCCCACCCCCTCCATCCTGACTTTGTTGACTCGTGTTGGGAGCACTTTCCCTGTACAATGACAAAGCAGTGGGACCTGTATGTCTGGCCGTGACAACTGTAAGTTGCAGCACCCAGTCAAGGATGAAGAGCAAGAACAAGACCAGCAGACAGCAGTACCCCCGCCAAGCACTGCAAAATGCAAATCTACCTTGGGCAAGCTTTTGGGTCAGGGACCCGCAGGCACATTACACACACATGAAAGCCCAACCATATTCCCCTCTCGCTCTGCCCTTCAGGAAGGACACAAGTACAGCACGGACACACAGAACCGGGCACCAAAAATAAACTACTAAAAAAATGACGACCACAACAAAAGTAGGTAAGAGACGCGACAGAGACAAGAGAGAAATTCACTTACCTGCAAAAATAGATTGACTTCTTGTAGTTTTTGTCTCACTTCTTGCCAAGCTCCTTCTTCCACCTCTCTCTTATATTGTTCTATTTGGCTGTGATCCACCCTGTGAGCCTCCAGGCGCTGTCTCAGGGTAGCCACCTCTTCTTTCAGCTGGCATTTGCTCTTCTCCAGTTTTTCATGGCTCCCACGCATGACGGACAACTCTTCTCGCAAATCCTGATTTTCTGCTTCTAGCCGCATGCATTTCTTAGACTCTGTCTCCAGCTGCTGGGAAAGTTCACCAACCTGTAGACAGAAAGGAAAAAACCAACCCAATAGGAACTCAGAGGGATCTAAAATTAGGCATTTCTGTGAAAATCCGTAAAGGGGCTGGCCATCAAGACGGTATTTGTCATCTGCTGACTCTGTATTAAATCCAAAGTGAAACCAAGCTCTCCTTTTAAAACAAGAACAGCTTTCACATCACTTCTGATAGGATCCCTCAGGTCCCCATCCTTTCTCAGTTCTTCTGCAGTCCCTAACCTCCTGAACAGCCAGAGCAACCTCAAAAGCACTTCTGGGAACTCTGCTTCTGGGTCCCCACAAGAAGGGAAAGGTGGGCTGAGACTGCTACTAGCGACGTCCTGGTTGGCTTGCAGACTTGCCCGTCTCTATGCACTGGCCTGGCGATCTGCACTCTTGGCTGACCCTCTTTACTGTGACTGGACCTGTTCTGCTCCTCTTGGTGAGGGCCAGCGGGACGGTTCCCCAGCCCGTGAGGTTAAGGACTCTGGCAGCCTTACTGCAACTCTTGGCTTGCCCTTCCTCTGCAGGACAGCTTGCCCTTGATGTGCCCTTACATATACTGCTTTGCACATAGCGGTTTTGTCTTTACCCATAATGGTAACTGCATCAGTATTAGTTATAGTCGTCTAGTACTGTACCGGTAGAAG